GTTTTTAGACCGAAAACGAGCGGCAGCCATTTGAGAACGTGGACGTCCGCCTAAGTGGCGTGTCCAGCCACATAATCGGACGTCCGCCAAACAGTCTGGACCGAGCGGCCTTAGGAACGGGACGTCGTCACAAGGATCGTCATCCGCCAATCCGCCCAATAATCGGTACGCATTACGGAGCGACGAGCTCGCCAAGGATTGTACGACCTCCCAAGTGCTGAAACGTTCCCCCAGGATTGTACGTCCGCTCCAGAGCTGGACGTCCGCCCAAAAGAGTGGACGACCGCCCAAGTGCTGGACGTCCGCCCAAGGATTGTACGTCGCCCAAGAGCTGGACGTCCGCCCAAAGAGTGGACGACCGCCCAAGTGCTGGACGTCCGCACAAGGATTGTACGTCGCCCAAGAGCGGGACGTCCGCCAAGTAGTGGACGACCGCCTCAAGGAGTGGTGGATGACCGCCCAAGAGCTGGACGTCCGCCCAAGGATTGGACGTCCGCCCGAGAGCTGGACGCCCACCTAGGGTAACATCCCTGACCGACCATCATTCCCAACCGACGCACGTTGCTGATTACACGGTTAAATGCTAATGACACATTAAAGTCCTTAACGAAGATTAAGGTATTATTGGGCCGTCCCCAGGCCCCCAAAAGGTAAAAGCCCATTACAACTCACTATAAATAAAGGTCTCAGGTATGAACTCTGACCAACTTGAATAACGATGCATACACGCATCACAATCGCTCTGTAATATTGCTGACTTGAGCGTCGGAGTGCCTTTAGCAGGTACCCGGCCCCTCCCCAACTAGGAGTGTGGAGCAGCGCTAAGTACGGAAGGACGCCCGGCCAGCTTGGAGCAGAGAACGAAGGTCCATCCGCCGGGAGAGGAGGACGTCCGCCCGGCTTGGAGCAAAGAGAGCGAGCGTCCGGATTGGAGGACGTCCGCCCGGCTTGGAGCAAAGAGAGAGCGTCTGGATTATAGGACGTCCGCCCGGTTTGGAGTGTGGAACAGCGATCGTCCATCTTGGTGCCGCCCGTTAGTGCAGCTAGCTCCGGTTCGTAGGATTCAGCAATGTCCGCCCGGTCCATGTATCTTCGCCGCCCGCCCGTTCGTCTTCGACAGTAAGTTTGTGTGTTTTTACAGGGTCCGCCCGGACTCAGCAGAAACAATAACCAATATCTAAATTTATAATTAATGATATCGTAACTATCATAAAAACAAAACCTAAGAGAATAATTTATAATTGCTCCAAAACATTAAAATATCCTAATTACATTATTAAATAAGTGTTATTTAACACGTCTTGCCCGTTCTTCTCTATGAAGACAAATCCACTTATGAAAACAGACAAGATGTTAACATATTAATTTGACCAATAACTAAAACTGAGGTCAATTTTTCCTATAGTTTTAATTAATTGAATGACACAAAGCGAGTGGTATTGGAATATAAATACCAAATCCTTGGGCCAGGGTTACTAGAAAAAACAAATTAGTTAGCACTCAAATTCGTCTGAGTTTGATTGGTTTGTGACACTATTATGTGCAAATTTCAAATGAAATTATTGCTCTAATTGAAATTTTATTGTTTGAATGGTCCCTAATATTAGTCTTATAGTGTAGGGTGTGTTTGAAAATTGTGGTAGATGAATCTTTATGGAATAACTTTTAGAACTAATATAAAAATTTAACTTCATTCCCTATATTTAAATCATAAAATACAATGAGTTTTTTATGGCCATAATTTTAATTGAAAAGATGATCATTAATGCCTATAATTTGTATTGATTATAGTATGATCATATTTGCAATTCGTGTAACCAATTGGCATCTTAGATTTTTTGTTTTAACTCATTTTAATATAAACGTAATATATGTTTTTTTTATATAAATATATATTATTTATGATTGGATATTCATTATGATGATAGAAGTAACTATAATTTACTTTTTAACAACAATTATGATTGGTTAATTTTTTTAGTTTATTCTACAATTATATAAAGTTAATAAATATTTGATAATCTGATAGTAATTATTAACATCATAAAAAAATTATTTTAAACTTTATTAAGGATGAGTTGAAAACGAGATGTGTTAATTAATGTTGAAATTTTTTAGTTAAAAGACGGTATGATATTAGCACTCCAATAGAAATATTAAAATATTGTATTCTTTTCTTTTTAAAATATTATCATTGACCATATTCACTAGTGAAATGAATAAGTCTTTTTTTTTTCTATTAATGATAAAATATTATAACTATATGGTTAAAAAAATTTGATAAGTGATTCGGCAGCTCGAAAGTTAGAAGATTAACACAAAGATAAATAATTTTATCATTTTAAATTTATATAAAAAAATTAACTGGAAATCTTTCAATTTTAAGAAATTTTAATACATACAAATTCAAAATATTATATTTTTTTATTTTATTTGGATAAAATAATTTAATTCTTTATTAAATTTCAAATTTGTATTAACAATCTTAACCATGAAAAATAATCCAACAATATCAATAAATAAGAAGACGAGCTCACTCGTTTAGGCCAACACACATGTTATACAAACCTTGCTACCCATACCTACAAATATTTGCACATGCATAAAATTATTTAAAATGATTAATTATATATAGTTCATAATAGTTTCAATGTCCTATAAATAAAAGGTCTAAATGTAACCAAATCCAAATAATTTGTTTATACCTAACTACAAATTACAAAAAGATCAAATTACATAACAAAATATTAAATGGTTAATATAAAATACCATTCAAATTCTCTATCTTATGTGTTTGATCCAATTATGTTTGGATTGGGTAGACTATTGTTTTGTGAAACTATGAATGGTGCATAAATCTATCAGTTAAACATGTTTAGTTTAAGTATCTCACCCAAAATCAAGTAAATGATAACTTGAGTATGGTTGAATCAGCCATGCTTGGACTAAAAACAGAAAATTAATAAATAAATATAAAACAATATGAAATTATTTAAAATTCTCACATTTTAAATAAAATTTAAGATTTTTATATGTAAGTAACATTTTATAAAATTTTAAAATTTCTTATTCAAATAATTTAGTAAAAAAACATTTTAAGTTCTCCGTAAAAATAAATTATTATATAAGCTAGTTTTTTTTATAAATATCCAATTCTCATTCGGATAATAATTTTATTTATAATTGGCATAAATCTTAATATCAATTGCCCCTGCAACACAATTTTAATTTAATTATTACTTTACAAGAGTAGGAGTGCCAACCAAATTGCATGATTTTGGGAAATAAAAAGTATTTTTTTATAGTGATTTTTTGAAAATAGAAACTATTCTGACTCTTGTGTGTAGAAAATAGAAAGACAATAATGATTAAAGTGAATGAAAAAACAGAGAGGTAAATGTAGTGTGAAGTGGATAAAATAAGGATCACATCTCACGCAATTAAACTCTTCTTGCAAAAAAAATACAAAACTGAAGTCATTATTTTGATCATACCATATTCAACTCATACACTTAAGTATCAATCTTTTCATGGCCATAATTTAGATTAAAAAAAATATAACTAAGGCCTTTAACTCACAAACTTAAATTCTTTAAAGTAAAAAATATTGATATGTTTCTTTAAAAAAAGTTAAAATTTTTCTATTTAAATCTCTTATGCATTGAAGAAAATTACAATTTCGGTTTTTGCCTCGATAATTTTTGTGTTAGCTTAATTAAATTTTTCCTTTACTCTTATATTCAATTTTGTCTGACAACTAATAAATGATTGAATTCGATTCCATATCTTAAAAAGGAAATATAGGGTATATTTAAAAATAAATAACCAAATTAAGTTATTTATTAATAGTTGGATGAAGTTAAATTAAATAAGTAACAAATAGAAAACAATTAAGTTTTGATGTTATTTGATCATATTTATAGTTAAAATTTAAAACATTAGTCTGGTAAGAAATTTCATTTTAACATCTTGTACATAAGATAATTTCAAATGTGTCCCAAAAGTTATAAAAGAATTGTGAAAAGTTATATTTTCATTAAAACGTAAGTTTGATTATAATGTAAATTTTATAAATTTTTAAAACTAATATGTATATTTATTTAAGGGTTAAATATAATTTTAGTTTTTAAATTTATATGAAATATTGAAAATCATTCTTTTATAAAATTTTGACACTTGGATTTTTAAATTTTAAAAGTAAATAAATATGATTCTTTTAACTTAATAATATTAACGTTTTTTATTAATATTTAAATTAGAATATATCAAAATTACGTAAATAATTCAAATATAATTTAAAATACTTTTATTATGTAAAAAAAAATAAAAAAAATTACATTCACTTATTTTTAAAGTTTGACAAACAACATATATCAACATTGAAACATTGAAGACAAACAAAATCAAAAATCTAATTTTATATATAAGGTGAAGACTGAAATCATACTTCAACTTATTTTAATCTTAAGTTTGATGTAGCAGTTAAATACAAAATACAATAATATCCTCTAATAACTCTTGAAGATAACTTTTATAAGATCTATAACATAACTTCTGGAGTTGTAGTCATTGAAATAGAAACACACATCTAGATTTAAGTGCAGAAATTTTAACGAGGTGATGTCTGGAAAATATGAAACGTTCATAGTCCCAATAAAAAGGGAAAAGTCGGTGTGGTCATTAAAATTATAACTAATGATATCTGTTTAGTCAAATATTAAAGTTTCGCCTTCTCAACCTCACATCAAAACACTAGTAAACCAAAATTCAACTTAGCCTTTTCTCGAAGAAATCAATTCAATGTTCATTACTGGAGACAACTGTGTAACCAAATCTTACTGAACACATAAAAAATTGCTAATATCAGTAAATTATCACCAACTCTACTCCTACAAGTAAGACCCTATTTCTCAACCAATCAAAGGAAAGTCCAAATCAAGTTGGACAACATATTGTTCTGAAATGACAAAAACCAGTAAATTATAGAACATGTAGTCCACCTAACTGCATCACCCTCACAAATCAACACGCCTTAGTCTAATAGGTGTCTCAATCTACATGCAAATACACATTAAGTTTTCAGAGAGGCAAGAGACAACAAATACCCCACTTCATTATCTCAAAGCTCAACCTTTTCTCTTCCTGGTTTTCTTAAAACTCTGCGCTTTATGTCTGATTATACCTTCTAAAGTGAAACCTTTTTCCTGAAAAAACCTTCCTAGCATCTAACTTTTTCCTTATTTTTCTCTGCCCCACCTTTCAAATTAATCATGTCAAAAAGAGAAATAATCAACCAGCTTCGGTGCTTACAAGAGCTGAATATTATGACCAAAAGATATGCTTTACTCTAAAGCATGGCAATAGAATGTAGACAACACGTGTTGAAGACGGCCAAAGTGAGAGTTGTACACATTCAGCTGCATGTCATGACATGACAGAGTTCAAAGTTGAATCCAACTACATAGGACAATTTCAAGAGTAGAGATATCATGTGTCTATAACACTTTCCCACCACACAACATAGTGACTGTCTCAGAGGACACACACCCTTGACCTTTCTCTCTTTCCCCAATATTTCCATTAAAGTTTGAGGCCTCCAATTTAAGGTAAAGCAAATCAATACACACAACACAACATGGCCTCCAAAATCATCCTCCATCTTCCTCCTCTTATAATTACCATTTTTACTGTTTTTCTCAAAATCCAAACAACCACTTCTTCACCCCAACCCCCTCTCATATTGCCTCTAATATCCCAGACACTCCCACATGGCTTTGTTTCTGTCCCAACTCCTTCTTCACGTAAGCTATCTTTCCACCACAACGTCACCTTAACCGTTTCACTCACCGTAGGCACGCCCCCACAGACCGTTACCATGGTCCTCGACACAGGCAGCGAACTCTCCTGGCTCCACTGCAAGAAAAACCAAAACATTGACTCTATCTTCAACCCACAACTCTCTTCCTCCTACACCCCTACACCCTGCACCTCAAACGTTTGCACCACCCGGACCCGAGATTTCCCCATACCCGTTTCCTGCGATCCGAGAAAGCTCTGCCACGCCACCGTCTCCTACGCTGACGCCACCTCCATAGAGGGGAACCTCGCCACCGACACGTTCTTCTTCTCCGGTTCGGGTCAACCGGGTATTATTTTCGGGTGCATGGACTCCGGGTTCAGCTCCAACACCAAGGAAGATTCCAAGACAACCGGGTTGATGGGTATGAACCGCGGGTCGCTCTCGTTTGTGACGCAAATGGGGTTTCCGAAATTCTCGTACTGCATCTCCGGCCATGATTCCTCCGGCGTGTTACTCTTCGGCGATGCGAAACTCACGTGGTTGGGTCCTTTGAAGTACACGCCACTGGTGAAGATGAATACCCCATTACCCTACTTCGACCGGGTCGCGTACACGGTTCGTTTGATGGGTATTCGGGTCGGTTCAAAACCATTGCAGGTGCCCAAGTCAATTTTCGCGCCGGACCACACCGGGGCAGGACAGACAATGGTGGATTCGGGTACCCAGTTCACTTTCCTTCTCGGGTCGGTTTACACTGCTCTAAAGAACGAGTTTTTGGAACAGACGAAAGGGGTGCTGACCCTTTTGGAGGATCCAAATTTTGTGTTTGAAGGGGCGATGGATTTGTGTTTTCGGGTTAGAGGGGGTGTTGTGCCGACGGTGCCCGCCGTGACAATGGTGTTCGAGGGGGCGGAGATGGGTGTGTCCGGGGAGAGGCTATTGTATCGAGTGGGTGATGACGTGGGAAAGGGAAAAGATGTGTATTGTTTCACGTTTGGGAATTCAGATTTGTTGGGAATTGAGGCTTATGTGATTGGGCACCATCATCAGCAGAACGTGTGGATGGAGTTTGACTTGGTCAACTCAAGAGTTGGATTTGCTGACACAAGGTGTGAACTTGCGAGTCGAAGACTTGGCATGGGTCCTTAGTTTGATTAGATTTGGGTCTGCTGTGCCCTACCATTGCCAGATTAGTCTTTTGGATTTGGTGGACAACCACCTTATTTTTTTATACACAACTGCTGTATCTTTTTCATAATACATAATTCTATTACAACTGTTTATGATGTTTAACGCAACAAATCTGTCTTAAGACATCAAATAAATCTGTTACACTAATTGATTTACTCGTTTGGTGATATCAGTCTAGAGGTGTAGCCAACAGTAGTTGTACTGTTTCTTAGATCCTACCATTCGTTAATGGCAGTGAGAGTTTTGGTGATCTGTCATGTGATGAGGTTTTGTTGGGAGGCTTTTTGATGTTGAACGTTCTGTGGACAGTAACATAGAGTACAATGGTGTAACTTAACGTCACAGTTACAACCAAGTGAATCGTGCTTGCAAAATTGAAATAATAGTGCAATTTTCAGATTTGTGTAAGTGTTTCTTTTGCAGAAAGCTTTATCGTAATGTTTGTTTCGTGTTCGTTGCGTCTGCACTAATCCATTGTTCTATTTTGGTAAGAATATGTTTGCGGGCTTTGTAATGGAATGGTTTTGGCTTGTTGAGTGATTTTAAAGTAATATACTTAGACGGTTCAACATGCTTTATAATAGTCATAAGAAGGAACAAAATGATTTGTATTTGATGAGGTATTTGGAAGAATGGATTTGAAAGGAAAATGTGATATAATTGAAGTTGTTTAAATTGAGAGAAAAGTGATTAGAAATGAAAGAAAATTTATAAAAATTAGTGAATGATTTAATGGATTTGATAAATTAAAATTTGTTTTATTTAATAAAATTAAATAATTATTACTTTATCTTTGGTTATAAAAATAATTTAAAATAAAATGTAATTATAATTAATATTATTATTGAAAATTGAATTGGATTGGGAAAGAGAGAGAAAGGATAGATTCGAAAATTGGAAAATGAATTGGTTTGAGATGTATTCTTCTTATAATATAGGCTTAAATGTTTACTTCGTCCTCATGTTAAGAGAGGTGAATTTCTGTTTAGTATCCGGTTTTAAAAATGAAAATATTGGGTCCTTGTGTTATAAAAAATGTATGAATAAGGTCATGTTCGTTAAATTGACAGCAACGGCGTTAAGTGCATGGTGATGTGGCCGTACTTTTTCTCTTCTCTCCAACTTTTTTTTTTTCTTGTTCAGCTTTTTCTTTGATGATTTGTTAAACTTGTTTTTTCTTTGTAGACCTTATTCATATATTTTTCATAACATAAGACCCAATGTCTTCATTTTTAAAATCGAATATTAAAGAAATCATCTATTAATATAGGAACGAAGTAAGTATTTAAGCTTACAATCTATTATCTACATAAATTCATAAAAGAAACCTATATTTGTAAATGTAGTTTGTACCGGTGGCCTTAAGAGTCTTTCCATTCTTCCCATCATGTGAAGGGATACGAAAAGTATAAATCATCTTATTTTCCCCGTCTGAAAAGAAGAAGCGTAGCTCCCATAATCTACGCCCCTAAACACTAGAGGAGTGGAAACAAACATAGACTAAATATTGAAGATAGAATGAAATATAATCAATTAGAAAGTGACAATAATTTTAATAGCATAACTTTCAAAACGTTTAAATACTAATTTATTTTTTAATTCAAATTTAATATAGTTTTAATTTTTTTAATGAAATTTCAATTTTCATTAATTTAATTTTTTTAATAACAATTAACCGTGAACATGATATGTCACCTTTCAATTTATTATTTCTTTTGTTATTTTCTATTTATTTATTTTTTATTTTTATCTTTTTAATTTTAAAAAAGTTATTTAGATGTGAAGCCAATATTATATCTGTAACATTCCAAAATACAGTATAAAATCATATCAGAGAAAATCACATATTAATAATATAACAGCTCAGTTTTACAAAGAAAAGAAAGTATGAGTATGGTCGAACAGCCTTGCAAAAAAAAAACTTCAGAATTTAATCTATTACAATATACAGCCTAGACCGAACGGTTTCCAAAATCATCTATACCGAACGGTTCTACAAAATAGAAGCAGAGATAATAACTGAGCGGTCCTAAGGTTCGACCTTCACTTCCACTTCTTCTAGAGCTTCTTCCAGCAGCTCTTCCCCTTTTGCTCATATCCATAGAGTAAGTTTATGTAATTTAATTAATTAATAAAACATATATTTCACATAAATCTGATGTACATCAATGATGTAATCATACAACCATTCAATCATACATTTCCATCCGAAATTTCAAGTCAAAACATACAATGACCGATCACTTGACTCTGACTGTCCGGAATGTATGAATTTTGTGTAGCTACGACGTTTTTGCACTCGGATGATGTAATAGCTGGGATGCCCTCAACAGCTGCCACCCGAGGTTAGTCCGTTCCGTCCAAGTTCACCTTATGGACTAAGACCTCCTGCCATTCTCACACATGACTTACTCCTCTCTACTTGAGAATGAGAAATCACAGAATATCAGGATAAACGCCAGCTAAGCTTTATCCGCATTCATACTATACCATTCAATAGCAAATCATGAGATATTCCTCCCTAGAATACTCTTTCATTTCCATACTATTCCACTCATATACCATCATCATTATTCATCAGTACTATCAAACCGAACCAATATAAACGAATTCCATCTTAAATCAAAACTAAACAATAACCTTTCCCCAGAGATAAGACAGAACGTTTTGAATACTTTCGAAACTAACAACTGGACAATTAGTGTAAGACCGAGCGGTCTTCTACTTATACACAGAACAGGACCGAAAGGGTTATTATCATGATTATGAAATAGACCGAATGAATAACACTCCTTAGTAACTAACAGGACCGAACGCTAATTACCAATTTAACCACTTCACTGAACCAACTCCTAATAGTGTAAACCGAATACTACTAAGCCTAGGCCGAATACTAAGACTCTAAGCCGAACACCATTTATTGAGACCAATATTGTTTGACACCGAATACTAGTAACAGACTAGATACTATGAAGAATCTGAGAGTTAGTATGATACCGAGCACTAATAATACTTAGCTTTTTGGTCTGAGACTAACATTGAAGAGACCGAGTGCTAGTCTGAGACCGAGCACTGTAGAGACCGAACACTGTTGAGTTTGGCTGAATACTCTTATTTCAAAATAATAATAATAGATTATTTAACGAGACTGAGCGCCTGGTTTATGACCAAGCACTACTGAACTTATAGAATAAAGGCTTTGTATGTATATAATATAGATACAAATAACTTGTTTTTAATGGAGGATAAATATACTAATATATGCTTAAGTAATATTGAATAATGTCCTAGGCTTATTACCAAATGCAAAGGGACAACTACACTTACACCGAACACTTATTTACAAGTCTACTAAGATAAAACCGATCAGTCATGAACTGAAATTCTCCCCAAAGGAAGAATCCGGTCCAAACCGAATGCTCAAAGGAAAACCGAACGGTCAATAATGACTTTCGGTGACAAACAAGGAATTACACAGAAAACTACAAACTTAAGATCAAACCTTATATCAACCCAGTTCCTCATCATTTATACTCATACAATCATACAACCAAAAATGCAGTAACAATTATACTTCATATTCATTCAACAATCAATCAACATGCAACCATTCAAAACAAGAATCTTAATCAAATTATATAAGCTTCCCTTACCTCTTAAGCTTAGCCGAACGCTCACGCTTGCAGAATAATGGCTTACCACTACAATTCCTTCTACCCTTAGAGTGTACCGATTACGAAACTATACCAAGATAAAATACCAGAATAACTATCAGAATTTCATAGAAGAAAATGATAGTCTCAGGCAAATAGAAACTGTGTTTGCATGTGTCAGAAAAGCAACAACGTTATGAGAGGGATGAACTTACCAGCTCGGAAATCACAATTTGATCAGTGCAAAGTGTAGCTCTTGGCACCAAGAATACTCAGGCGCTGCCTGAATGATGATCGGAGGAAGAAAAGAGTAAGATTTTGTAGAGAGAAGAAAAAGATGGTAGAGAGAAGGAGGAGAAAATGGAAGTTCAGAACTTTGGAGGAGAAGGGTGCATGCAGAAAAAGTGGCACAAAGTTTGAGATTTTTCTTTAAATACTACCGCTAAATATTGATCGTCCACTCTGCATCACACACTTGTCTTCCTGTTCTTGAGTTTCATCTTCCCTTTTTCGGACACATGTACTCCACTAAGTTGGGGTTTTAAAAGTTCTGACAATATCATATGTAAAGTCATCGTCGTACCATATAACACTAGCCAGGTCTATCTTATATTCAATTTAATTTATATATTTATTATTTTAATTCAATCAAAGTGTTATTTTTTTTTAAATAGAATAATTTTTTCTATTTTCAAAGACAAAATTTAATTTTTATATAAATATTATACTGATATTTTTATTAAAATTTACATTTTTATTAAATATTTTTAGAATTATTTTTAAATCAATTATAACTATCTTATTAAATTATAATTATTAGATTTGTGTTTTATTTGTTTTATCATAATAAATAGGATTAGAGTGGATTTAAAAATAATAAATTTTTTAAACCAAGTCTTTATTATATTTTTTTTCATGTAACAAAAATCAAACATAAATTTAATAATTATATTTTAATAACATATAGTTTAGAATTGATTTAAAAATATTTATAAAAATATTTAATAAAAATGTAAATTTTAATATAATATTTATATAAAATTAATTCTGGTCTAAAGGATAACTAAAATTGTTTCCTTTAAACAAAAATTAGAAATGAATTTAATTAAAATAACAAAAATAATAACTTAATTAGATATAACATGTTAAGACGTTACATGTCACACTAACATTACTATTATCATGTGACAGTGACATTACTTACTGTTATCATTTGACATGATGCTAACTTAACATATAGTTATTTTTTTAATTAAAAAAAAACTTGAACAACACATAATTATTCACATATAATTAACTATTTTAACGACATTTAAAAAATCATATAATGGAGACACAATATCAATGAGATCTAAACTCAACCATATAAGTGATGATTAATGGGTCTTTCATCTCTATATAATGATTTACTTTCTCATTTCTATCTAATGTGGGACTTAGACTCATACTTAGATTTCCAACGATCTCTCTCAAAGGTGAGTCTATTCCACATATGTACACTCCATCGGCTCTAATACCACTGTTGGATCTATCAAGAGCTAGGTTCACGGGAGAGATACAAATATCAATGAGATATGAGTCCAACCATATAAGGGATTGACATCATTTTCTATCAAAAATCTTAAGACAATGGATTAATGAATCTTTCATCTTTATATAATGTTCTATTTTCTCATTTCTATCAAATGTGAGACTTAGACTCACACTTGGATTCCTAACAATATACAGAAAGACCAAAAAATGAAGAAGATGAGATCATTCCACACTATTTAGCCATATTCAGCTTTTTTTTATTGTATAAATATATATATATATATATATATATATATATATATTTTACTTTTAATATCATGTGAATAATATCATTCTTTTTT